TTTAATATTTTCGATCTCTATAGTTTCAGTAAAATTGGGTAACTTTTGTTTCTTAAGTCCCTATAATTTTGGTGTTTTCAGTATTTTTAGTCCCTACAAAGACTAAAAACACTGAAAAAAAATATAGGGACTAAAAATAAAATTTGATAAACTATAAAAACTGATAATTATGTTTTAAAAAAATAAATAAACCACACACTGAATAGTTCTCTGATTTAGTTTATATACGATGATTTTTAAATTAGTATCAACATGATTAATTTTTTGTAAGAGTTAAAGTGAAAGTTTTATATAATATAATACTTTAATTTGAAGGAAAAAAGATAAACAAAGAGGAAAATTATTTCAAAAATTAAAATGTAAGCGAATCATTACTGGGAACCCCTGTTCATTACTGCCTTTATAAAGGACACTTTATATTGAAGAAAAAAGACAAACAAAAACGAAAATTATTTTAAAAATTAAAATGTAAGTGAATCATTACTCGGAACATTCGTTCAGTGTAATGACCAGAAAGTAATCGTCGATCTGTTGCAGAAGAGGTAACCCAAAAAAGAAAAAAAAAAACAAAAACAAAAAAACAAAACGTAATGAATTAATGATCGATATTGTGGTGGAGAAAATTAGCGCCAGCTAGCAGCGAACAAACTCTGCAAAATGTTGGAAAATACAAGAGTATATAGTACGTGAAGTTGAAAAGCACAGCAATATATATATATATATATATATATTGTATGTATGCAGGAAAACAAAATATTAATCCTCATACTCTTAGCATATTTTGATATATTAATTCTTTTTTTTTTTGGTCATTGCTTATATTCCTTTAAAATTCATCTGTCTATAATGTTAAATATGCTAACATGTACATATGTAAACACCATATTTTATCTAGGCATTCAAATGTTAATTGAAAATAAATAAAAAAAGCATAATAAAATTAAATAAATAAAATAAATAAAAAAGGAATAAAAAGGGTTTTCATGATTTTAAAAATAATAATCTTTCCGTTTTTTATTGGTCCCAAATCCTCTCAATCTTGTTCTCATCAAATTTTATTTAATTAAAGGAAAAATTAGAAAAACTGGAAAGTCAAATTAATCAAATTTGATTTTGAGATGATTATGGCTTGATTTGAAATTCGGTGTAATTAAATGAAGAATTTGAAAATCTGATTTGAAAAGTCAAAATAAGATTCGAGGGGATCAAGTCTTGATTAGGCGCTATTAATGAGCAAAAATTTTAATGGTGCCCATAAAAGGGAGAGAAAAGGGCCACAAAGAAAGAGGAGGTTGGGAGGAGACATATATACCCCAAGGTTCATTGCTGTTCCAGTTCTCACGGATTTTAATAGTGATCATCATATACTGGCTTGGGTAACGTGCTCTTGCCTTTGTGTCTTTGTACATTTGATCGTCATATTATTTTCCTATGCACTCATTTATCCCTTCTATTGACATAATATGCTCTTGGCTTGATTGGATTACCACCAACTCAGTTTTTGTTTTCCTCTACAACATCATCTATTCCTTTCTTTTCTTTTCTTTTTTGTTTTGCTTTTAGTTTATATGATTGACTCTGGTGTGGTTGTCTTATGCAGAAAGGCATATGGGAAATGGATCTTCAAGGTGATCATTATTTGGTGGCAATTTATTACATAGTAGAATGAGTTTGTTGGCATTTGATTTGTATTAATCCTTATTTTGAGATCAATGAATCATGATAATACATTTTTTTTCTAAGCCTTTTTTTTAAAGAATCATTAGTGGTACTAAATCACTGTGAATATTTGATGTACCATAAGTGATATTAAATTACTACAATTGTCAAAGAATATCCTTTGTGCATTATAATTAAAAATAGTAATAACATTAACGGCACATTTTATGCTATGCTATAAATGATACTATATCATCGTAGATCCCTAAAAGCATCAAATGAGATGTCATGAATGACACTAAGTCATTGCAATTATCAAATTTTGTTTTAGAATTTCATAGTTAAATTATTTTATAGAAAATTCAATTTAAAATCCCTTTAAGATTTGCCATCAGTGACACTTAATCATCAGTGCACTTAGAGCGTCAACTAATGGACTTTGAGAGGTACTAAATAGGTTTCAATACTGGTTATTTCCCCTCTTGTGCATTATTTAGAAATAATAAAATTTTTAACATATTTTTCATTATGCCTTGAGTGATACTATATCACATTGGATCCCTAAAAATATTAAAAGAAAATATTGTGAATGACCCTAAGTCATCATAGGTATCACATTTTGTTTTAAAATTTTTAAGTTAAATTATTTTATAGAAAATTATTCACTTTAAAAATTCATGGTTTATTATGAGTAATACTAAATTATTATATGCACTTAGAGTGTCAACCTATAGACTGAGTGACAGTAAATCACTGCAGGTTTTAACATTGGTTATTTTTCTCTTACCCAAAGGTATTTTTCAAAGAACAAACTTTTATAAAAAATAATAAATAAAAAATAGAACCCAAAATAATATTCTCTTCATAAAATAAATTAATTAAAACAATTAAAAGGAAACCTAAATAATAATATTTCGAACTACATGAACTTTAATCCCCATCATAGGGTATGTAGGCCCTAATGTCATGGCCTTAGAATTTCCCTTTCCTTGAACTGTGCCAACCTTAGCTTTGATCAACCTCTTGATCTTAACTAAGTCAGCCGAACCCACAAAGTAGGTAAAGAGACTTAAGAGGACTAATTGCACAAGTAGAGAGTAGAGAGTTTGAGTAAATGAACTTGAGAGCTTTATTACTTTTCTTGAGTAGTTACAAATGAGGGGTGAGGGGGTATTTATAGGCTCCCCCCTTCTTCCAAAAATTCCCACCTCCTTAATGGACAGTTGGGATTGATTCGATCCAATGGTGTACATTCTATCTCTAGATATTTTTATAGAAATATCTACAAGGAATATCTTGATATTTACAAGGAGAATTCTAGAATGTATAAGAGTAGGATATCCTTAGAATAATCTTGATACTTCAAGCGCTCTCTACATTATTCTAGAGATTTCTAAGTCTTTTGAGGTCATACCAACGTTTTCCAAAAGACTCTGGTGCCTTCTTGATTATCCTAGATCATTTCAGAAGCTTCTAGAATATTTTAACCTCGTGAGAATTTTGACTTTGTCACATTCTCCCCCACCTATTTGAGTCACGTCCTCGTCATGACATCATCTTTATAAGAACGAAGTTGTTCTTCAAATTGCGAAAGATCTCTTTGAGATTCCCATGTTGCTTCACTCTCTGGCAATTCCTTCCATTTGATCAAGTATTGTGTGTCTGGTGGCACACCTCTTTTTCACATGATTCGATGACTAAGTATTTCTCCAACTCCTCGATCATATGCCTTGGTGATGATAGATGGGGCGCGTAATGATGTACCTCAAATTAGGTCATCCTGATCTTCATGATAAGGTTTCAGCATGCTAATATTGAAGGCAAGATGAATCTTTAAGTTAGTAGGGAGATCCAAGTTATATGAGACTTTCCCTACCTTCTTGATTACTTTATAGGGACCTTCATATTTGTGAATGAGGCCCTTATGTACTATTCTGAAGGCTTTAAATTGTTGTGAGAGAAGTTTCACCATTACCATATCTCTTACTTGGAATTCTACTGCATGCCTTCATTTGTCTGCAAACTTCTTCATCTTCGTGGCAGCTTTTACAAGGAATCATCTTGTTTCATCTACCCGTTCCTGCCAGGACTTAGCCATGTGAAAGGCTTCAGGGCTCTTACCTTTATAAGAGGTTGAGAGGGCCTGTGGGGTGATCAGTTGTTTTCCTATTACAATCTCAAATGGGCTCTTTCCTATTGCCTCACTTCTTTGTAGGTTGTAGGAGAACTGAGCCACATCAAGCAACTTAGCCTAGTCCTTTTGATTGGCGCTAACAAAGTGCCACAGAGAGTACTCAAGTAAGGCATTCACCCTCTCAGTTTGCCCATCTGTATGAGGATGAAAGTTAATTGAGAAGTGTAGCTCTATCCCCAATAATTTGAATAGTTCTATCTATAGCTTTCTTGTGAACCTTGGGTCTCTATCACTGATGATAGTTCTAAGAAGGCCCTGGTACTTTACCACATTTTTGAAAAACATTCAAGCCACTTCCTCAGCTGTACAGTCCATTGGATAGCTATAAAAGTTGCATATTTAGAGAATCGATCTACTACCACCATGATGGATCTAAATCCTTCTCACTTAGGTAATGCTGAGATGAAGTTCAAGGAAATACTTTCCCATGGTTAGCTCGATGTAGGTAAGGTTTCAAGTAGTCCTCTAGGTAACTAGTTGTCCACCTTATCTTGTTGGCATACAAGATAAGTCTTCACATAAAGTTCTACATCCTCCCTTATGTGAGGCCAATAATAGGTTGCTTCTAGCAAAGCTAAAGTTCACCTTTGACCTGGGTGACCTGCCCATTTAGAGTCGTGATACTCTTTGATCAACTCCTTCCTTAGGTTTGCCCATTTAGGAACATACATTTGCCTTCCTAGAGTGTAGAGGATTTCATCTTCCACCTAGAATCTCTTAGTCTTTCCCCTTTTTTGCTAATTCCACTAGATGTAGGGCTATGGGATCTTGGGCTATCCCTTCCTTAATCTTCTCGACCAAGTTCCCATTAACTTAGGTCAAGGATGCCAGTTCTGCCTTTCTACTTAGAGCATCTGTAACGATGTTAGCTGCTCCTGATTTATACTCTAATACATAGTTAAACTCAGCCAAGAAGTCTTGCCATCTTGTTGCTTTGGTGTCAACTTCTTCTAAGTCTGGAAGTAACTAGTGGCCACGTTGTCCGTCTTGATGACAAACTTTGCTCGAAACAAGTAATGCCTCTAAGTACATAAGAAATGGACTATAGCTGTCATCTCCTTTTCTTGGACCATGTATTGCTTCTCGGTATCATTTAGCTTGCAACTTTCAAAGGCAATAGGATGCCTCTCTTACGTTAGGACACCTCTCATAACAAAGTCAGAGGCATCAATATGTACCTCAAAGGGTTGGAAAAGTCAGGAAGTGTCAACACTGGTTCTTTCATGACAGCTGCCTTTAAGTCCTCAAAGGCTTGTTGGTACTCCTCTGTCCAAGCCCAATACTTGTTCTTTTTCAACAACTCTGTAAGAGGGGCAGCTCTTGCCCAGTAGCCTTTGATGAATCGCTGATAATAGTTTACCAATCCTAAGAAGGACCATAGCTTAGCCACATATGTTGGAGGCTCCCATTCCTTTATAGCTTGTACCTTTTTCTTATCCATCTTAAGGCAACCATGTGAGATAACATGTCCTAAAAAGGAGACTTCCTTCATAACAAAAGAGCACTTTTCCTTTTTCATATAAAACTCATTTTCACGAAGGGTCTTGAACACACTGGAAGTGTTCAGCATGTTCTTCCAGTGTGTTGCTATAAACGACAATGTCATCTAAATACACTACCACGAATCGGTCGAGATAAGGATAAAAGATCTTATTCATGAAAGTGCAGAATGTGGCTGGTACATTAGTTAGTCCAAAAGGCCTAACTAACCATTTAAAAGACCCATATCGTGTTACACAAGTGGTCTTAAGTTCATCTCCTTCGACAATTCAAACTTGATGATACCCAGATCTTAGATTCAATTTGGAAAAATACTTTGCCTTTCCCAGGCGATCAAACAAGTTAGCTATCAAAGGAATAGGATATTTGTTTTTAATAGTTACCTTGTTAAGAGCCCGATAGTTGATGCATAGGCACAAGGACCTATCCTGCTTCTTTTGAAATAAGACTGGTGCTCCAAAAGGTGCTTTTGATGGTTGGATGAAACCTGCATTGATCAACTCCTTTAGCTGCTTCTTAATTCCTCCAACTCTGATGGTGCCATACAATATGGCACTATGGCCAGTGGCCTAGTTCTTGATTTTAACTCGATCTCATGATCTACCTCTCTGCATGGTGGAAGCTTCTTAGGCAACTTAGCAGGCATAATGTCTTGGTTCTCTACCAGGACATGGGCAATTATGGGAGGGACTTCTTCGTTAACCTTGTCCCCAGGGTCAATCTCCTTTAGTGTTGCCAAGTATAGAGCTTCTCCCTTTCTTAATCCCTTCTTAACTTACAAGGCTAAGAGTTGGTGTCCACTACTCACCCTTCTTATTGGCACAAAGCAAGGGTTTTCCTTTTCCAGTATGCAAAGTAAATTATAATAAGGCATAGGGTAAGTGTTTTCTTACTTGAAGAACTTTAATCCCAGTACAACCTTGAAGTCATTCATAGGAGCTACGGAGAAGTCTATTTTCCCACTCCAGCTTCCAAACATAGCTCAACCCCTTATACTATGCCATATAGTTGCTTAAAAGGTAAGTTAACCACCTTTAGACTTCCTCCCTCCTGCACCACCTTGAGACCTATTCGCTTGGCCTCTTCTGGAGTGATAAAATTATGGGTAGTGTCACACATTATGGTGACAGATGATCCGTTTAGCTTCCCATCTACATACATCAAACCCTCACCTTTAGGATTCTTTAGCAAGGGCTTGACCTTTAAAGTGTTGAGGAGTCATAGAGACCCCATCTCTACATTAAGTTCCTCTTCTTCAGCTTTCTCCATAATGGCTGCTAACATACCTAACTTTGGACATTCTCTTATTCGATAAGGGCCTTTGCACACAAAGCATCCCATCTGGTCCTTAAAGGTTTTCTTCTGTCCTTCAGGTTGTTTCTTCTGTAAGGACCTGCTATCACCCCCTTTGGATGTCCCCTTGCCCTTGTCTCCCCTACCTTTTTCAAGATTAGGTTTGGAAGACTTGAGTTTAGAGGACTCACCTTTTTCCCTATTATACTTTGTGAGATTTCAGCTATTGTGATTGCCTCATCAACAGTCTTCACGTCATGCTTTTGTAACTTATGCTTGGGCCAGTTCTAGAGATCATCGATCAAATAGAAGAGAGCTTCTTCGCTACTCAGATTGGGAATCTGAAGCATTAAAGAGGTGAAGTCTCGTACGTAGTCAAAGATGGTAGTCTTATATTTGAGATTCCTTAGTTTCTTTCGTGCCTCGTAGACCACATTCTCTAGCTAGAATTGCCTCTTCAACTCTTTCTTGAAATCCTCCCAAGTATTGATTGTGTAAAGCCCTTTGTCCATGCCTGTATGCTTCCTTCGCCATCATAACATGGCATTGTCTATAAGGAAGTAAGCAGCGGTATGTACTTTGGTTTGATCATCAATCATCTCTAAGGTATCAGCATAATGTTCCATTTGCCATAAGAATTTTGAACTTCCTTGGCATCTCATACCCCTTTAAATTCCGTAGGTTTGGGAAGGTCTAACTTGACTTCCCGTATTTCACTATTTCCATCCAATAGTGGGTTTCTTCCTCTTTCTTCTAAGGAAATTTTGAGAGTGTTGAGCTGTTGTTGTATCGTGGTGATGGCATCCATCACCTTTGTTTCCAAGGATTTAACAGCATCCTCTTGTTAATCCTCAGAGTTTTGTAAGGTATCTATACTACTCTTTAACTCATTAAGTTTTTGAGAGTGTAGTACTCCAACATACCCATATCACCCCCAACGTTCTCTACTCTACCCATCATTTCTTCCATAGCTTTCTCTAAAGCATCAATTTTTATGAAGAGTACAGTAAGATCTTCTGAATGTACCTTACTAGCGCCTCATGCCTTCTTGCCTCCTTGGTGTAGAGGTTGGGATTCCCTTCCCCTCTCTTCGTCGTGAGCAAGATTATTCTCAGTTACACCCGACATCCTTACCTACAAGTATCTATCGAAACCATAATTCCCTCAAACCAGGCTCTGATACTACATTATCATGGCCTTGAAACTTTCCTTTCCTTGAACCGTGCCAACCTTAGCTTTGATCAACCCCTTAATCTTAACTAAGTCAGCTAAACCCATAAAGTAGGCAAAGAGACTTAAAAGGATTAATTACACAAGTAAAGAGTAGAGAATTTGAGTGAATGAACTTGAGAGCTTTATTACTTTGCTTGAGTAGTTACAAATGAGGGGTAAGGGGGTATTTATAGGCCCCCTTCTTCTAAAAAGTTTTCACCTCCTTAATGGACAGTTGAGATTGATTCGATCCAATGGTGTACATTCTATCTCTAGATATTTTTATAGAAATATCTACAAGGAATATCTTGATATTTACAAGGAGAATTCTAGAATGTGAAAGAATAGGATATCTCTAGAATAATCTAGATACTTCAAGTGCTCTTTACACAATTCTAGAGATATCTAGGTCTTTTAAGGTCATACCAATATTTTTCAGAAGACTCCGGTGCCTTCTTAATTGTCCTGGATCGTTTTGAAAGCTTTCAGAATATTTCAACCTCGTGAGAATTTTGACTTTGTCACACTAAGCTTTGATCCTAGGTCAAGTCCTCTTATGTTAATAAATAATTTGTTTTCACTATCTTTTTATCTTTATTTTTACATGAGATTAAAGGGTGACTAAGATATTATTAAAATGCCAGTTAATTTTATGTAATCAATTTAGGGTAACCATTCCTATGAATGAGTTTCGTGGGGTATCTAACACCTTTGTATACAATCGACTCTCGAACCTTTTTCACAAACTATTCTTTTTCATTATAGTTTTCTAACGTTTTTCTAAATACGTTAGTGGCAACTCCTATTTTTCTATATTTATTGACCTTCCTTCTCCAAGAAAGTCACGATACAAATGTGACAACATAATTCCATTCATTCTATTGCCAAGTTTATAAAATTATGATGAGTAGTTAGATATTAAATGAACAAAATAACTACTAATTTTTTGCCTTTCAATTCTAGTTGGTGTGCATCCTCTTCCTTTTGAATTTTCACCATTGCAGCTTTAAGAATAAGAATTTTAATTTAATTTCTTGCTTGTTTATTACCTTCTACTCATTTTTCATACAATTCATCATAATTTCAAGAACTCACTAAAAACAAGAATTAATAGAGTTTATATACACATTAATCAGTTAAATGAAAAAAAAAAATCAAATGTGCTCATCTAGTTTGCTTACTAGAAAGGAATGGAATAAAAAAAAGCAAGATAAAAATGAATCAAATCACCCTTATCCTCATGGTAAGCATCATAAAACTGGTTAATATGTACTATAAATGTGGGAATTATTATGCTCTTTAAAAATCTCATGAATTATGATTCTCAATCTCATGAACTAAATTACCCCTCCCCCTTAGGAAGGTGCTCATCTATCCCCTTTGACCATCTTATTTTTACCTTTATTTTTCAATCAATCCAATCCATTCCATTCCTTTCTAGTAAGTAATTATGGGACCATAGAGATTAAAGCTAAAACATGCTAAAAATGTAGGACCAATAATCATAATTTTTCAATAAATATTGATAATGATAGACAATGTGGTATAATCACAAAATGTACAATGAGAAGGGGACATTTAAATTATAATTCTAAGGGGAAAATGAGAATATAATGAGAATTTTAAAACCAAGATCAAAGTGACATAATCTTTCATAAATTTTACCTAACGCAATCACATCTGTAATAGCGTCACTTTCTTTTGTATATATATGGAAAAAGTTCATTTTCTTCATCATTATAATGAAGATTTGTCTTCTCCCCATCCCATTACTCTTTTTTTTATAAAGAAGGAAAAACTAATTAACAACAGACAAGTCCTATTGTAATATAGTAATTAACCCATATGGAGGGGACAGTAAAGGGTAAAATTCAGCCATGCATGAAAAAAAAAAATTTTCTCACAAGATCATTAATAGCTTTATTAGTATCTCTCTAGATTTTCTACAGAAGCATCTCCCAATCATGAGAACATGCCATAGTGTATGAGTCACTAAAACACGAAGATCACCCCTCTATACCACATGCTACAGTACAAGAGGGGGTATTTCTAACAGTGATAAGAGAGAATCAGTTTGAAAATAAAATAGAAGGAGAGAACGAAGAGAAACTTAAAAGCTCTGCTATGACATAAATTGGGTCATCATTTATGAGGTATTTACAGCTTCCAACCTTTACTAGTAAGTTCCCTACGTGCTTATCTTCCTTCCTCTTCCATTTTGTCCTAAAGTTGAGAGTTATGGTTGCAAGAGAAGTTAATTTTTGGACTTATTGGGTTATGAGTTTGAATCCATTGACTTAAATGAAATTAATGAGAGTTGTTTAGGTTATTTGAATCTAGAATTTGTGGCCTCATGAGTTTTGGTAGTTGTAGGGTAATAAATACCCAAAAATAGTATTTATGAAGGTTATTGGGAGTGTTTAATGGTTATTAATGATGGTTAGATGATTTATTAGAATGAAGGTGAGTTAAAGAAAGCTAGTATACCTAATGGGTATCCTTGTATATGAGGAAATTGGATTCTAAGAGTTTGGAAGTATTGAGTTAGCTATTGGAAATTATCCTAATGAGGATATTGATGATTGTTGATGTGATTAAATG